TCTCGTACTTTATACTGGTGGTTGCTAAATTGTGCGTGAGCCTGACTGTGGCTCCTTGGTACTTGAATTCTTTCTTTCTGGCTGTTTGTAGTAATTTTTCTTTGATCTGAAAGCTTGGGTTTTTGGCTATGCTCCAGGGAGTTTTCATTCTGGGGTTTCTTTTAGGAGATGACCAGTGGATTCTTTCTATTTCTAATTTGTGCTCTAGTTCTAAGAGATCTGGGCAATTTCCTTTTAAGGTTTCTTATAATATGATATTTAGGTTCTTTTTTTTCAGTTATGGATTTTAGATATTCCAATCGATTCTGAATTGTTTTCTCCTCAATTTGTTTTCCAAGTCAGTTGTTATTTTTTCTTTTTCTATGAGATACCTTACATGTCCTCTATTTCTCAGCTTTTTGACTGTTTGATTATTTTTTGTCTCATGGAGTAATTAGCTTTTTTTTTGGTCCATTCAAATTTTTAGAGAGTTATTGCTTGGGCAAAGTTTTACACCTCTTGTGCCAAACTGTTAATTCCTTTTCCAATTCTTTTTTCCATTGCTCTCATTTATTTTCCATTTTTTTCCTCAAGTGCTCTCATTCATTTAAAAAAACACTTCAAAATTTTTTTAAACTTTTGTTTCACTTCTTCCAGGAATTCTATTTGAGTTTATGCTCAAACTGTGTTTTTCTCTGAATCAACTGTAGACATTTTAGAGCCATCCTTTTCTGCATTCATGTTGAGCTTCCTTGTTACCATACTAGCTTATTATGATGAGATTCTTTTTTTGTTTGCCCATTGTTCCAGTCAGCTTTCTAACTCCAGATATGATGTTAGGGCTAAGCTCTGTGGCACCTCTGGAGGGAAAGTATGAGCATGTCCTGTTGCTGCTTTCTCGGGATCTTGAGTTTTGTGTTATTACAGGAACTCGGGGACAGGTTGGGTAACTATAAGCTTTCAGTGCTCCCATAATGGTGATCCAGGGCAAAGTATGATTGTTGCTCCCTGGTCTGAGCTCTGCAAATTCCTAACCTGGATTTAGGTCTGAGCAAGAGTAGACTCCTGCTGGACTCCACTCCTATTAGCCAACTGGAAAGCTCTGTTGGCTCAGAGTGGAAGAATTGTAGGTTCCCCTTTGGTCTGGGATTCCCACCTACTTATTGCTCTGTAGGCTGGGCTAGACATTGGAGGTAAGGTCTGAGCCACACCATGGTGGCTGCTGTGGCTGCCGCTGGTTTCTTAATTTCCTCCTTTCTCTGTACACAGCTCAGGATCTCCCAAGCTGGGAACACCATTGCCATTTGTAGGTCCCCCTGTCACTCCACCATGGATTGGCTAGCTGCCAGTTGCCACCTGTCCCCATTGCAGTGCCTCAGTGGGGGTCTAAGAAACCCCTCTTACCTAGTGCTCAGTTGCTACTTGCAGATTGGCGGGCTCCATGCACAGCATGCTCCTGACCCAACTATGTCTCCACTGTCTACAGACCTCCTTGTCTGTTTCCCTATTCCAAGCTGAGCATGGTGAAGGACTCACTGTCATTTTTTTTCCTGGATTTCTCCATCAGCATTTGGGTCTGGTGTGTTTTCTATAAATGTAAGGAGGAGATTATGGAGAGGAGCTCATGAAATTACTTCCTGTCACTCCAATATCTTGGTTCTGCCTTTCTCTCTGTACCTCTTCTTATAATGCCATCCAACCTTCCTCAATTACTTCAGTGTCTGGCTCACAGAATTCTCTTCTTTACTCTGACTTCTGCCATCATCTTTGGTGACTTTAACATTCATGCTGATGGCCATTCTAAGATCCTTAATCCTTGACACACAGTTTTCAGCATCTAGTGACTCCCAACTTCATGGTTTTTTAAGCTGCCCATATGCACAATCAATTCATTTTAATAAACATTCACTAGGTATCTACTATGTGTGAAACCTTGTGCTAAGCACTGGAGGTACAAAGGCAAAAAAAAATTAACAAGTCACAGCCTTGTTAAGCCTTGTTAGGAGCTTACTTTCCATGGGGTGAATTGGATTTCATCATCACTTAAAATGGCTATACTCAAATTCTCTTTCTGACTGCAACCTCTTTATCTTCTACTTTCCTAAGGAAGATAACATATTACAGTAAAAAGAGTGCTAGATTTGGATTCAGGGGACCTAGGTTTAAATCTGTACTCAGGCACCAGTGTGACTTTGGATGAGTCAGGGGCCTCAGTTTCCTCAAATGTGAAATAAGGGGGTTGGACTAATGACCTCAAAGTTTCCTCCCATCTCTAAAGCTCTGATACTATGATACTTCCTTTCTACCATACTTATTCTTTCTCCTCACTGGGATCTCTACTCCCTTAAATCATCCTTAATCTCTCATTCTACTACCATGGTTCTTTGTTTATTTGATTCTCTACCCAGCCTGAAACCATTAACCATTTCAAAGATGCACTGGCTATTGTCCTAGGATCCTCGAATCTCTGTGAATTCTTACCCATCTTATATTCCTATCCTCTTGCTTTTTCAAAAGAAGCATTCCTTTCTTTTGTCAAAGCTAACTAATAATAAGAGTTAGCATTTATATAGTGCTTTATTCAAAGTTATTTACAAATATTATCTCACAAGAATATAATCTCCACAACAACCCAGGGAGCTAGGTGCTATTATCATCCCTATTTTATAGATGAGGAAACTAAGTGAATTGCTTGGTCACATAGCTAGTAAATGTCTGCGACTGGATTAGAACTCAGGTCTTTCTGACTTCAGGTCCAGAACTCTATGCACTACACCACTTACCTGCCTAGGTGTTGCCCAACTGTGCTTATTTATGTTCTTGATTTCATCCCTTTTCAATTCCTAGAGACCTTGTTTCAACAATTTTTCCTCCTCTTTTTTTTTGCATGTTCAGTCTCTCTTTTTCCACTGTCTCCTTTCCTTCTGCCTTCAAATATCATCATTTTGTGTCTGCTAAGCTCTTCTCTCTATCCATCTTTTTACAGATGACTTTCTTGAGAGAATAGTCTTACTGCTTCTTTCTCAAAACCTACTCATTCTTTAACTCTTTTGGAATCTCTCTTATTCACTATCATTACTTAATTACTCCACTAAAGATGTCTCCTTTCAGGTCTTAGGTAGCTTCCATCCCTTATCAATGGAAAGACCCCATGACTTTTTCTTTCCACCTTCCACCTTCCACATCTTTTTTTTTTCAGCCAAAGATAAGGTATTAGAACATCCATCATATTGGGAAGACTCTTAAGGAGTCTGAATATTAGTAAGCTGTTGACTTATTGGCTAGATTATAAGAATCTAAGCAGTGGCTAGATTATAAAAATCAGAGCTTCTTGGTTCTTATCTTACTGAACCTCAGCACAGCACATAACACTACCGACCAACCCTCCTCTCTGAAGCTAGTGTGGAATCATAATTAACATTAAACCTTATTTCTACTGTATTGATTTTACAGCGTAATTGGTGTTATGCTGGATTGATTTGTATAATTGTTAGTATCTGTCTGAACTCACCTGGCTCAAAAATGTTGTCTTTCCTAGTCTAAATGTGTTTAAAGGTATAGTTGAAAGGAAATGTTGTCACCACTCCTACACTAGCCCCTGGGACATTTGCTTGCTGTCTGTAAGCATCAACCAGCTTAACCTGGTGCCATCCCCTCAAAAGAGAAATCCTTGCCTGTCCTAGTGCAAATAAGAGTGGTTTGATCTCCCTCAAGGGGACTAACTGGGTGGTTCTGATTGTCTAGCCAAGATCTCAGGAGTAAGACGAGTTCCACAAAACACTTAATCTTCCTTAATTGTCAGAGAAGGGCGTGATCAGCCACATCCAGATGTCAACCCACTTTCCCCAGTGTAGTAAATTATAAGGTTCCCCAATTACCTAGACCCACTTATTTCCTGCAATAAAAAAGTCCCACCCCCTTGGGTTCACCAGCTTTACTGAGGTGGCCAGTCTGACCCACTTTGTTAATAGCTATATGCATCACTGTTAATAAATTGATTACGCTCAGAGAATGTACCTCAGTTTATCTTTATTGCATTGCTTGACACACTATCTGATTCTCCCTCGGATTCCATGACATTGCCTTTTCTTGGTTCTCCTAACTCTCAGATCATTTCACTTCTATAATGAGATCCTCTTCCTGATCTTTAAATGCAGTTCTTCTACAAGGTACAATCCTGAACTTGCCTTTTCTTTTTTCTCTTCTTGGGTTATTTCATCTATTTCCATAGCTCCCACTCTCACCTCTATGTGGATGTCTTTCCTTATTTGTGAAAAATACAAGCAGGTTGGACTAGATGGTTTCTAAGGTCCCTTAGAACTTCGAGATCTATGATTTCAAAATCTCTATCTCCAGCCTTAACCATTTCTCTCTCTTTTTTTGATTAAAAGGAGATTTTGGCCAAATGTTATTTCCTAGCAATTAGAAGTAACACAAAGTGAAATGAGATGCGTCAGAAGGTTGACATTCCCAAAAGACTTCAAGTGGAGGCCATGTGATCATTTGTTGGGATGTTGATAGAGGGCATATTTTCTGAGGTATGGGTGAGATGACAACTGAGGTTCCTTCCACCTCTGATCATCTATAATTTTATAACCTTCAATAAACAAGAAACTCACTATATTACAAGAAGTTCGACTCTAATTGTTAAGAAAATTCTTTTTTTTTATATGGATCCATACTCTACTTCTCTATAAAGTCTCCCCATTAGGTTCTAGTCATGGAGCAGTAACAAAGTATAATACCTTGTCCCCATGATAGTAACCTTTCAATTATTTTAAGATAGCTCTCATGCCCTGACTTCTGTTTTCTTTTCTCCAGGCTTCACATCCCTAGTTCTTTTAATTGTGCCCACCTCTGATATGATATGAAACTTCATATTCTTTCTGCTCTTTTCCAGATGGACCCAGTTAATCAGTGATCTTCTTAAAATGACCCACACTGGTCCCGTGGCATCAGTATAATTCATAATTCATCATTCAGTGCCTCATTGTATGACCAGCCCAGTTAGTCCTGCTTACCTTGGGCTGGAGCACAAACCATTCATCACTTGGATTTTCAAAGTTCCATGAATCAAAAGGAATTTCCACCTCTCCAAGGAAGCTGTTTCGCCCAAATCGGTCATAATGCCAGACAGAAAGTTGAAGGGTTCTTGTTTCTAGTTGAGTGTGGCTAATGGTATACTAGAATATAACAGAAACAAATATGTTCATTAATGAAGGTCTTTCTCAATTGTTAAGAACAGATTGGGATTCAGTTCACCTACTCCTTTGTTGAACCACTTCCATCAGCAACAGAAATACTGAACAGGAAAGAACTCATTATCTTTGTTATCCTCCAACCACTGAAGGAAAAAAATAAATCCATATTTTTTTTTGGTACGGCTCCTAGCACAGAGAAAAAAAATATATATATACAGGTATGTATATCCATATACATATGTGTATATATATATACATATATATACACATACACACACACACACACATATGTATAGAATTCTTTTTGAAGATAATTAATTCCAATTAGGGTTTATAGGAGGCAGAAAGTTTTTTTAACTTTTTGTCATTTCATCATTTTTGTCTATTCTTCATTAGCCCGTGTTTAATTATTTTTTCGAAAGATTCTTTTCAAAGATTAACTTTAAACAAGAATTATCTATTTTGCAACTCTTGTTTTATATCTAAAAGAATAGGATTTTTTCAAATGGAAGGGATTTTGCTCCTCTATTCCAACTTGTTCATTTTTAACAGAGGGAAAAACCAAAACCCAGAGGAGTTAAGTGAAATACTCCATCTAGGTCCGTACAGTGAATTTGTGGCAGAGCCCAAATTTAAACACAGGTTCTCCATTGTTTAGTCTTATTAATATTGCAGCATGGGTAGTGACAGAGTACTTGACTTGAATTCAGAGAGACCTGAGTTCAAATTCTACCTTGGGATCCTTACTAGTTGCAAAACCCTGGGCAAGTCACTTAAACAAGGGGCTTGGACTCACTGTCCTCTACGATCCCTTCTAGTTTTAAATCTGTGATCCTATGAAATCCAGAAAACAACCTACAAAGATATAATCAGCCATCAGGACTTCAGTCTTCCAAGACAAACTTCCTGAGATGTCTACCTTTTTTTTTTCTTAAAGGACTCATCCACTCGCTATGTCTTTGATTTAGTCTTGTTATGGCTGGATAGGCCCATTGTTGGATAGGAATCATATTCTTCTTATGCACTTTTCATATTATAATTTCTACTATGTTTATTCACGTATTTGACCTGGTCCTTACTATATCATAAGCTGTTTGAGGGCATAAACTGAGTCTTACATATCTTAGTGTTTATCTCAGGCAGATAGCAATTTTCTCCTCTTTTTAGAAGAGAGTGTGTGTGTGTGTGTGTGTGTGTGTGTGTGTGTGAGAGAGAGAGAGAGAGAGACAGAGACAGAGAGACAGAGAGAGTTGAGCTTCTTTCCCCAGGTTACTTCCCCTAGAACTTTCACATCCATCCATAAATCTTCATGTATTGCATTGTTCCCTATCCATCTTCCTAAATTTAGCTCCATTTAAATCCTGTGAATAGTAAATAATTACACCGTCCAAGTACCATAATCACCTTATACAGGATGAGACGTGAAGTCCATAGCAAAACTATGACTAGATCCAGAAAACTACCGTACCAATTCTTTGACAAAGTTATTTTGAAAAGACCCAGGAACCTATTATGTCCCCAAGAATAAGAATTCTCACTGCAACAGAAATCTGTTTGGGTTGCCATTACTTAAAATCTAACTGCAAAGTCAACAGTAGCAAAATCATATGAAGAGTAAAAGTGACTTTAATTTGGGATTTAGTTTAATTTGGGATACCTTTGGAATGCCCTTGGTGACAAGAAAACAAAGGTCTTTACAAACAAATTCAAATACATCAAAATCTACTATTTTGTCAGATAAAAATTTCTAACTAATAAAAACTTTCAGCCATTTATAAACAGTAGGCGGTTGTAAACTAATTCAGGAACTTGTCATGGATTATTAATTTGAAAGAGCTCTCACCTTTAGAATTTCATTAAATTCTGGATTGGTGCCTGTTCTGATTTTGGTCTTGCGTTTATTGTTTCTTGATTTGTCAGGAAGAAGGTATGATTTCACATAGCTGTAGATGATAAAAATGAAGCTGGTGATTGGAAACATCAAATAATTCTCTCTCCACTCCAATCCATCCTCCATTTAGCCACTAAAGTGATTTTCCTCAAGTGGAGGTCTATGTTACCCCCTCATTCAATTAACTCCAGTGGCTCCCTATTGCCTCCAGGATTGAATACAAAATCCTCTCCTTGGCATTCAAAGCCTTTATAACTTAGCTTCCCCCACCTTTCCAGTATTCTTATGCTTTACTTCCCGCCATGTACTATTTCATCCAGTGAGACTGGCATCCTTGCTGCTGTATGAATTAGACATTCTATGTCTAGGCTCCAAGCATTTTTTCTGGCTGACCTCTATGTCTGGAATGTTCTCCTTCCTCATTTCCACCATCTAGCCTTCCCTAGCTTTCCTTTAAGTCCCTAATAAATCCCACCTTTTACAGGAAGCCTTTTCCAACCCCTCTTAATTCTAGGATCTTCCCTCTCTTAATTATTTCCTGTTCATCCTGTTTATAACTTGTTTGTACAGAATTATTTGTTGTATTTCCCATTAGACTGTAAACTCCTTGAAGTCAGGGACTGACTTTTGCCTCTTTTTGTATCCCCAACACTTAGCATAGTGCCTAGCATATAATAGGTACTTAATAAATGTTTATTGATTGGTTGAAAATATACCTTCCTAAAAATGTCATGGATTTATATGAGCAAATGAAAGATGAGGGGAGAGAATGGGTTAAGGAGAGAAAAAGTTAGGCTAAGATATATAGAATACGGTTTATATTAGACTTCAAAATGTTGTTCAGAGGTCATTTGTGGTGCTACAAAGATTCCTGGTGATTGTCATTATATTCCTACACTCTTATTCCGCTTCGGATAGCCTCCTTCTTACCTGCCATAAAATTTTAGCGTTGGGGAATTGAGTCAGTGATAATGAGTAGGGTAAGAAGAGACAGAAAACAAGAAATGACAGTCTCTGGGAATAACAGCACTTACTTTGAATATGGGTCAATAATAATCTTGGGATATATTTAACAAACCCCAGAGTGAGGGAACAGATCAACAGAATGGGGGGAGGAGGACTAGGGAGGAAGGTACAAAATGCCATATAAATCATGGGTGGATATGTTGGACCCTCAATAACAATGTCTAGGCTAGTCTCAAATATTTATGTTGGTCCTACAGACTCCTGGGATCTGATCAAGCTGTATTATTCTCTCCTCTAAATAACTTCCATACTCTTCACCTACCTATCTTTTCTTGAACTGCTCCTTATGCTTGTCACTGTCTGATCACCTTCTTCCCTACCCCTCCCCATCTCTCCCTAGTGACATCCTAGCCAGCTTATACACTTGCTATTCCAGGAAGTTTTTCCTGATGCTCCTAGCCACCTGTGTCCTCTCACTTAATATAATGAATTTTTGCTCCCATTATACATATATCATATTATAATGTCTACTGAATTTATTTGTGGAAATGTTTTTTTAATCTCCTTGGGGGCAGGGACTTTGTTTTCTTTATTTTTTTTATTTTTTTTTTTTAGGCAATTGGGGTTAAGTGACTTGCCCAGGGTCACACAGCTAGTAAGTGTCAAGTGTTTGGTCTGAGGCTGGATTTGAACTCAGGTCCTCCTGACTTCAGGGCCAGTGCTCTATCCACTGCACCACCTAGCTGACCCCTGTTTTCTTTATTTTTATGCCTTCCCAGTGCCTAATATAATATTCTGCATATAGCAGGTATTTAATGTTGGTTGAATGAATGAAACCAATTTGTTCTCAGAACACACTAATTACAATAAGCATTTATTAGGCATCTATTATATACAAGACCTGATACTAGATGCTACAGATATAGATGGGAAGAAGTAGTCCCTGATCTTAACGTTCTACTATGGGAATATAACATGTATATAGTTAAGTCATCTAAAATATATACACAGTAAATACAGTGTTAGGTGGAGGAATAGAAGGGTAGGATCATGGATTGTAATCTGCTCGTGGGCAGGGACTGTATTATTTTTATCTCTGTATCACCTTGACTAGCATACCACCTGGCACAAAGAAGGAGAATAATGGATGTTTATTGTTCAATAGTCGATAAACATTTATTAAGTGCATACTACATGCCAGGTACTGTGCTAAGCACTACAGATACAAAGAAAGGCAAAAGACAGTCCTAATTGTTGAGGAGCTCACCCTCTAAAGGAGGAGATAACATGCAAACAGCAATGTGGGAACAGGTTGTATGCAGGATAAATTGGAGATAAGCAATAGAAGGAAGGCATCAATTTATAAAGGAGATAACAGTTGAGTTAAATCTCAAAGGGAAACAGATTCCTATATGTGAAGGTGAGAAGGGAGAGTATCTGAATCATGGGCAACAATCTGGGCCAAAGAATGGAAATAGGGACTGGAATGCTGAGTACATGGATAAGGAGTAGGCCAGTTTGTCTAGAATACTGAGTATATGGGTGGAGAGCAGCATAGGAAAGATGGGTTGGAATTGGATTGAGAAGGCCTTTTAATGTGAAACAGAAGAGTCTGCATTTTCCCCTAGCGGCAATAAGGAAGTGTCCTTGAGCCCTAGAGTGATGTGGTAATAATATCTTCATGATTAGATAGATGACTAGTGGAGACCTTGACAAAAATAGGGCACTTCAGAGGAGGGGTGGGTTTAGGAGGAAAGAGAATAAGCTCTGTTTTGGACATGCTGAGTTTAATAGAACTTTTTGATAGGCAGCTAGGTTGTGCAGTAGATAGCATACTGAACCTAGAGTCAGGAACACAAGTTCAAAACCTACGTCAGACATTTACTTACTGCATGACCTTGGGCAAATCATTTATCCTCTGTCTGCCTTGATTACATAATAGCACCTATTTCCCAAGGCTGCTGTGAAGGTAAAATAATATTTGTATAAAGTGCTTTGCAAAGTACTCTAGCATTCTCACAGTGCTATACAAATGCTATTATTATTTTGTGATTTTTATGATTATTATTACTATTACATAAATTGTAGACATTATTAAATGTTAGTTAGTCATTGGAATCCAGATGGAGATGTTCAGTAGGTATTGATTAAGTGGGACTTCTGTGGAGAAGAGGTGTAAGGGCTGGATATGTAGATTTGGGAATCATTTGCATAGATAAGTGAATCTACCAGAAACATCCATTAAAAGAATGTGGATTGGAGAGAGTACCTAGAACAAAGCCCTGGGCTATATCCATGCCTTGGGGTGGGGATAGGTCTAGTAAATGAGAACTCTGAAAGAACAATGTCATGAAAACCCAGAAAGTATCCAGGAGGAGGGAGTCAAAGGCAGCATCAGAAGCTGCAGAGAAGTTAAGAAGGTTGAGGACTGAGAAATGGTTATTGGACTTAGCAATAAGGAGAGCATTGGTAACCTTGGAAAAGGCAGCTTCAGTTGAGTGATGAGGTTGGAATCTAGATTACATGGGGCTGAATAATGAGTAGTAGGTGATGAGCAGATACACCAAGTATATGATGACTTTTTTCTAGGAGTTTGGCTAGGAAGGAAAGAAGAGAAATGGGATGATGGGGGGATTGAGGGAATGGCAGGTTCAACTGAAAATTTTTTTTAAGAATTGGGGAGATCTGAGCATGTTTGTAGGCATTGAAGATGGAGAAACTTTAGAGACAGAGGACAAAATGGTTGAAGGTTTAAATTCCTAGAGAAGATTGAAGAGGATAGAATTAAGGACACAAATAGAGGGGTTGGTCTTTGTAAGGATAAGGATCACTTCTCTAATCCTAAAACTTCATCTGATTCTGGAACAAAGGAGGAGAGAATTAGAGATGAAATTGAGGGAATCTCAGATGAAGAATTGAGGTGTTCAGGTAGATCAGGACAGTTGGCCTCCATTTTCTTGGTAAAGTATGAGGTGAGGTGCTCTGCCAATAAAAAGGAGGCATGCAGGTAGTGTTGTAGCTTAAGGGGAGAAGAGAAGTTTTGAACATTTTCTTTAGGGACTGTGATAGTCAATCAGGGAGGAAGAAAATGATTGTTATATAGTAGTAGTAAGGTACTATTTCAGATTAGATCCTTCCCTTTACCATGAAAATCCTTGACTTCCTGGTCTGGATTGTTTACTGAACCTGGGATCTGATTATACTTACTCTTTCCTCTGACATGTCTTGGTCCAAAATTATATTCCATGACTCATCCTTGGGGTCTTGACAATTTCATAACTGACCTAGGCTTTGGGTCTTGAGCTGATCAAGCAGCCTGGTAATTTTCCTTTTGACATTTTCCAGAGGAGAAATGAAGATTCATTTTTTTTAATCCCTTGGAGTATGCATGAGTGTAGGGTTCCTGTTTCATAGAACTGACCCTATTGATAGGTACTGATAACCTACAAGACTGAATCTCCAAAACATTTTGTGTGATGACATCAGTGTAACCAAGGAAGCATGAGCAGCAGGTATTTAGAAATGTAACAGAAGAATAGGGTGATATATAACTATTGAATCTAATTTGAAAAGACAGGCATACTCAAATTTCTCCTCTTCACAAAATAAGTTATTTGGACTAGACAAAGGAACATGCTGTCTGCTTACGCGTCTGTTCTCTGTCTCTTTTCATCTGCTATGGCTAGATTTCTGCAATTCTTTACAAAAATGTGGAGCCCGCCGGTTTTGTAGCAGTAGCTGATGTGCAGAAGGATTTCGCCGCTGACCTTCACGTTGCCATAGTCCCCTGTTTCACTATAAACACTCATCATGCTGTTAAGGCTGGTCTGGAATAAACAAGATAAAAAGAGAAGTCCAGTGGTGCTCTAATGATCTCTTTGCAAAAACAAGTTTTTTTCTCCTTAATTCAATTACAATCCCTCTTCACTTCAGTGTGCAGACCAGCCCACAGTAATAGGCAAAAAAGTAGAATCAACTGCTTGTTTTGCATGTGTTACTTCGTGTCAAAGTAGGAAAAAGGATCTAGTCTCATTGGTTTGAGGCAATAAACTTAATTACTATGGGGAGAATAATTCACTTTTGGGTTAGTGGTTGGGTATGGGATACCATTCAACTTTTCTACCAACATTCATGTTCTCTTGACAACCAGAAAGAGTAAGGCACATCCCCAACTGAGCATCCTACTTTATTCTCATGATTGGTCTTCGCATCAAGCAATTGAATACTGCTCCTTGACTGGATATGGGAGGCAAGATCAACAAAAAGGTGGTCTGAGCATCCTCATGTATGCTCTGTTGTCTCTACCCATCCATAGAGACCAACCACTGATCTACAGCAAGCTTTAGAGGGGTGGATCCATAAAACAGCCAGTCACTATACAACTGCAAATGATTTTGAAAATTTTTTGCTCAGCAGCCATGTGACCAATGATTTCTCTAATGCCATGGTTTCAAACTTTTTCAGTCCACAGATCATTTCAGAAAGATCGAAGAAAGTATGGACCATATACCCTGATTCACTGTGAAAAAATAAAAATAATAATGAACCCTCCTCCAAATAATCCTTCTTTGTACCCTTTCTCCCCAGTGCCCCAGTTCTACCAAAATTAACAGAACGGATGACATAGTTTTTGCTGAGACGTTAATGAAGCAAAGACTGAACTTTATTAAATATAATTAAATGTTTAGTTTATGCCATAAACTGACAAAAGTGCTATTACATTATCAATATGATAGTATGCGATAGTATAAGTATAGGAATCATTTGAATGTAGATGGTGAGTGTAGAGTACTGGACTTGGGATTGAGAAAGACGTATGTTTGAATCTCGCTTTAGAGACTTACTAGATGTCTGATCCTGGGCAAGTCACTCATCTGACCCCTTCTAGCCTTAGTTTCCTCATCTGACAAATAATGATAATGATAGCACTAACCAAGGTTGTTACGAGGATCAAATGATATATTTAAAGCATTTTGAAAGTGCTGAAGGTGCTATAAAAATGTTTGATATTTAACATCAGAAAGCTCTGAGAGACTGCTAAAACATACTTTGAGGGCTGCTGATCCAAAGGGTAAAGTTTAACGCAATTAAGGATTAGTTTAAACTTTTTTCTGTCACAAGTACCTATAAAGGAGGACTTTGCCAGTTAGGCAGCAATAGATTGATCAAGGAATACTCAGATATAGAGAAGGGAGCCTGTCTCCTCTTTGCAATAGCTTTTTAATGCTTAGGATGGCAGGGTTTACTCAAAGGATTTTATAATTTCATAATCATTTAGGAACTACATCTCAATCTAGGTAAAAGAAATCATAATCCATGATTATGGGCTCAGTGAATAAGAGCTAGAAAGGACCACAGAGGTCATCTTGTCCAACTTTAACAGATGAAGAAATGGGCCAAGTGAAGGACCAGGAGCTTGCACAGGGTTCTGTAACTGCTTAGTATGAGTGTGAATAGTAGAACCCAGATCTCCTAATTTCTAGAGTTCTTTCCACTATTGTATTCTGCCTGTTGGGGTATACAATATAGGACCACAGAACCTCTGAGTGGGAAAGAATTTCAGAGATCATCTTCTAAAGAATATTCTAAAAATCTCCCTGCATAGCATGCAGTTTCAAATTGAAACAGTATAGAGATGGTACCTTCCTACATGCTTTCTGAGGCAGTCCATTCCACCCTCTCATTGTTAGAAAGTTGTGCCAATCATATCCGTTTGTAAACAAAGAGCCCTACCAATTCTGAAGGGCTCCAAGGAAATAATTCAGTTTAGGAGACCATACCAGCCTCAGCTATATGAGGACATGCCAACTTTCTCCTCTTAACTAGGCCAAACAGACAATACTCAAATCTCTTATGATACTGGTTAGTTTAAAAGTAACTCTATGAATCTTTTGTTTGTTGCCTGGTACGTAAGTTTTCAATAATCTGATGAAGATTGTCCTTGGACATAGGATGATCACTTTAAGATTGGCCTTTAATTAAAAAACAAAACAAAACAAACCCTCTAGTTAGCTCAGTCAACAAAAAGAAAAATATTCAAAGGACAGTTTACAAATTCTGCAACGCCCACCCCCGCCCCTCCCCATGCATTCTCTAAGTGTGTTGGAAATGTAGCTGAGAAGGAAGAAAGAAATAAAAGAAAAGCCAGAAGACTCACAGTATCAGAATCCACATCAGGAACATTTAAGTAGGTCCATTTCTTATCAGAGCCTGCTTGAGAGTTCTTTCAAAGGTTTGTGCAAAAGTCAATAAAAAGAGGCATTAGAACAAGAATAAAGACAGGAGAGCAAAGGAAAAACCTTGAGGAAGCACGAACTGGAAGCCCTTACTGAGCAATTACTGAACTCTGGCCCTCTTCATGGGATGAATTAATTAGCAAATGTTTCCAGTTAATTTCTCTACTATGAGGAAGGAGAGAATTCTCAGCACTTTCTGGGAGCTCATGTGTTTCTGCTCAGTAAAGGTCTCCTAGAGGAAGGATAAGTATATTTTGTTTAAACACAGCAGGTATTAGACAGTAGATAAAACGTAGGAAATCACCAGACAGATAAATTGAAAGAGCTCATTACATTAAAAAAAGAAACAATATAAGCCATCCTTAAATAGTAAGCCCCCAATTTCCATTTAAAATATGACATAAATGAGCAATTTTCAAGTGACTTATTAGGAAAAAAATTAAGGCACATCTCCATTTCCAAATGCAGGTCAACATTCCTTAAGATGCAATTCTCCACTTTTGAAAAGCCTAATAACAATACAAACACAGCTAAAGTTGCACTATTAATGACTTACAAATAGTCAAATAGTTAAAGCAAATTAAATGTTTTATTAATAACACTTGATAAGTTTCTTCTTCTTCAAGGATAACTAATGGAAGCAATCGTGTGGCTTTTACAGATAATGCACCCATCACTAAAACATAATGAGGTGGGGTTATAGGTACAAAGATTACAAGTGAAAAATATTTGTTAAATGAATAATGAATGGTGTTTGCAAGTCAGTCACAGAGCTAAGAAAACACAGATATTCTTGTATTATTAATGACATATAGGAAGAAATGATTACCTTATTTCTATAATCATTCATATAGTTTAATAAAATAGTCTCATTCAAAATTGATTAAGGCAAAGTGTACTCAAGGCATAGTCTAATGTTAATTTAACCTGTGCTGGCTCTATCAAAACGTAGAAATGACTGGAACCTATAGAGTAGCTTCACTTTTCAAAGCACTTATCTATTTTCTTATTTTTATTCATGTATAAGCCTGATAAGACAGGATGGGCTCTGTTCAACTCAGTTTTATACAAGACCTGATGCTAGATGTTCCGGATATAGATGGGAAGAAGTAGTCCCTGTCTTCAAGGATCTTAGGGAATATAACATGTATATAGTTAAGTGATCTAAAATGTATACATAGTAAATACAGTGTTAGGTGGAGGAATAGAAGATCAATGACAACTTGGAGGGTAGGATCATGGATTGTAATCTCCTCGTGGGCAGGGACTGTATTATTTTTATCTATGTATCACCTTGACTAGCATACCACCTGGCACAAAGAAGGAAAATAATGAATGTTTATTGTTCAATAGTCGATAAACATTTATTAAGTGCATACTATATGCCAGGCACTGTGCTAAGCACTATAGATACAAAGAAAGGTAAAAGACAGTCCTAGATGTTGAGGAACTCACCGTGTAATGGAGAAGACAACATGCAAACAGCAATGTGTGAACAAGTTGTGTACTATATGCAAGGCACTGTGCATAAAGAAATGAAAAATGAAAAAGGCCCTACCCTAAAGGGGATTACATTCTACTTGCAAGAAATGTCTTGTACCAAGACAGAGAAATATAAAACATACTCAAAGTAAATACAAAGTAATATTGTTGAATAAACACTGACAGCTGAGGAAATCAGAAGATGCTTCAGGCTGGAGATGCCGCTTGAGTTGAGTCTGGAAGGGAGCTGGGGATTCTAGGAGGTAGTGGTGAGGAGATGACAGATGAATTGTCATGTGAGAGGAACAGCAAAAAGGTCAATGGGCCGGAATGCAGAGTTCATGATGTGGATTAATGTAAACTAAGTATGGAAAGATAGGTCAGAGTCAAGCAGGTAAGGGCTTTAAATTCTAAACAGAGGAATTTGTATTTTATTCTAGAGAAAATAGGAAGTTACTGAAACTTCTTGAACAGAGGAGTGATGTGGTCATACCCGGGCTTATCAGTTTTCAAGCTGCACGAAGGATGGATTGGAGAGGAGAGAGACCAGAGGCAGGGAGACTTTCTCTTCAACTTCATGACTATGAAGAGGTGATCTTTTATAGAAAAGCATTTGCAAAGCTCCCCACCCCAGTTTCTCCTTGTTTCCTTGTTATATTTTCATCCAGAAATTTCTCTATATATAGGCAATTATCATTCGATTTTATAGAAATGAGAAAGTAGGCATATTGCAACAGTTCAGGTAAGAGATGATGAGTGCTTGAATTAGGGTGGTGACCACATGAGTTAAGAGAAGGGGATGGAAGAACATCATAAATAAATAAATTCAACAAAAACTTAAGGTGAAGTTGACTCTATTCTAACACGGAAAAAAAGATTGGTATTGAAATGGGAAGTGGGTCAGAAACACTTGTCTGTGTACCTTCAGACCATGGAGCACATAGATTAAAGGTTAAAATCAAGATAAAATTAGGAAAAAAGGATAAAGATGAGAACACAACATTAAGGGTAATTTTAAGAAGTCTAATCCAACCTATTTAAAAAGCTTTAAGCTGGAAATACATGAAATTGATTAAGGTAGAGTTATAAAATTATAAAAAATAAATTTTTTAAAGAAATTTATTGACTATAAAGCAGTCATCATAGCAAAGAGGACTAAATATCCTCCAAACACTTCAAGTCAACAAACACTTGCTCTCCTTGCTATGTGAAGAGAGAGGGCATCTAGTCATGGGCAATACTGGTTTAAAGAAGGAATTCTTAACTTAGGGCCTGTGAGCTTTAAAATATACTATTTTGTTTCAACATAATTGGTTTTCTTCCCTATTCTCGGTATAGGCAAAAGACAGTCCTTGCCCTCCAGGAGCTGACAACCTAAAAGGGCAGACAACATGCAAACAAATATATTCAAAGCAAGCTATATATAGGATTAATTGGAAATAATTAATAGAGAGAAGGCACTAGAATTAAGAAGGGTTAGAAAAGACTTCCTGGAAGACAGGATTTTAGTCAGGACTTGAAGAAAGCCAGAGAAGCCAGTAGGCAGAGTTGAGGAGGTAGAGCATTCCAGGCATGGGGGACAGCCAGAGAAAATGCCTGGAACCAAGAGATTGAGTACCTTGTTTGGAGAACAGCCAGGAGGCCAGCGCCACTGGATCAAAGATTATGCCATTGAAGTAAGGTATAAGAAAGATAAGAGGGGGCTGAAAGTTATGAAAGGCTTGAATGTCAAATAGAGAATTTTTTATATCTTACTAGAGGCAGTTGGAAGCCACTGGGGTTTATTGAGAAGGGCAACATGGTTGGACCTGTACTTTAGGAAAATCACTTTGGTGGCTAAATGGAGAATGGACAGGCAGACCCACCAGCAGGCCATTGTCATGGTCTAAGCATGAGGTGATGAGGGCCAGCATCAGAGTGATTGCGATGTCAGAGGGGAGAAGGAGGTATATTTGAGAGATGTTGCAAAGGTGAAATCAACAGGCCTTGGCAACAGCTTGGATGTGGTGGGGAGGGAGCATGAGAGATAGTGAAGAGGAGAGGGTGACTTTTAGGTTGCCAATGTGAGGGAATGGGAGGATAGTGTTGCCCTGGATAGTAATAGGGAAGTTAGGAGCGGGGAGTATTTGGGAGGAAAGATAATGAGTTTTGCTTTGGACATGTTGAGTTTAAGAAATCCTGTTGGAGCTATCTAAAAGACAGCAGGTGTGAGATTGGAGGTCAATTGAGAGGTTAGGGCAGGATAGCAAGTTTTGAGAGTCATCTGCATAGAGATAGTAATTAAATCCATAGGAGCTGATGAGATCACCAGGTGAAATAATACAGTGGGGGAGAGAAGAGTTTCTAAGATAGAGTCCTAGGGAGCACCTATAGTTTGAAGTCATGACCCAGGTGAAGATCCGGCAAAGGAGACTAAAAAGGAATAGTCTGAGAGGCAGAAAAACCAGGGTACAGGGCTGTCCCTAAAACCTAGAGAGGAGAGAATATAAAGGAGAAGAGGATGATTCACAATGTCAAAGCCTACAGAGGGGGCAAGAAGAAGGACTGAAAAAAGGCCTTTGGAGTTGGCAATTAGGAGATCATTGGTAACTTTAGAGAGAGCAGTTTCAGTAAAATGATGAGCTGGGAACTTGGATTGTAAGGGGTTACAATGAGCAAGAAGAGAGAAAGTGGAGGCACCTACTGTAGATAATCTTTTCAAGGAGTTTGGCCAAAAAGGGCAGAAGAGATATATGATGAGAGTTAGCAGGTATGGAAGGATCAAGTGAGGGTTTTTTGATGATAAGGGAGACAGGGGCATATTTTAAGGCAGTAGGGAGGGGCACAAAAGACAGGGAAAGATTTAAAATAACGATAGAGTGGGCATGACTGAAGGGACAGTCTGTTGGAGGAGATGAGATGGAATGGCATTGCTTATTCAGATAGTGGTGTTAGCCTTGGTAAGGAGTAAGGCCACTTCATTATATGAGATGGGGTGAAGGAGAAGATAGAGGCAAAAAGTACGTAAGTGATAGGAGATGAGGAAGCTATAGTGACTGGCCTCAATTTTTTCTGTAAAATATGAGGGGAGTTTCTCCACGGAGTGGGTAGAGGGAAAAGGAGTGATGGCAAGCTTAAAGAGTGACGAAAAGGTTTGTAAGAGCCCCTGAGAAGAGTAGGATGGGGAGTCAATAAGGAAGGTATAGAAGGATTTACTGGTGGCAGAGAGGACAGTGAGGTTGTGTAACATAAATCTGCAGTGGCCCCCTACCAGAAGACTTACATAGGTTTTCTCCATCTACTTTCAGCAACACATATGCAGGTGGGAAGGAGATGAATGGTGGGAGTGATCCAAGGGTGAGGCTTGGTCAGACAGAGGAGAATAGAAAGATGCAAAGTCAGTACAAACGGACTGCATCATGCTCCTCTCCCTTTAATCTCTGTTCATTTTTAGAGCATTCATTGGGCAATTCAGTTTTATCATATGTTACAGTTACTACCTAAAAAGCTACACTCCAGATGTAGAAGGGAGTAGAGATGGAAATCATTTCATTTGTTTACCCGTTGTAGCAATACTGAAATAGGAACTAGAACCAGAAATTTTTGTCTCTTAGACTGATTTCCTAACTTCCAGAACAAGCACTTGGGTAAAAAAGAAAAAAAAAGAGTAGATTAAATTAGGGAAATTTAAAAATTAGATGAAGTCATCCATAGATATAATTTCCAGTTCTGAGGAAACTATATGATGGTTAATAATCGTCAATTTTTTCCTTTGTAAGGGCAGATGAAATGGATAGTATTGAGAAGATAGTGTATAAGGTAAAAAGGAGTAAGGTATTCCTGGTTTGGTTTAGAAACATCTCTTGGGGAAAAACACATGTAAAATAAAACAAAAAAGTAAAGTATCTCATGAAAAGGAAAAAGGAAAAATTCCATAGTAAATAAATCAAAATTAATACCATTACACATTCATAACATAAATTTTAGAAAAGAAGAGAATATTGTAAAAATCTGATCTTTTTTTTTTGGCTAGCTCACAAAGTCTTCTAATACTTCAAGACCTGCTATTTCCCAAAAATTGGAGATAGAAAATAAATTAGTCACTGTAGAGGACATATAGAGACTTTTGATTAGTCTTTGTTATTACTGTTGTTGGTTTATACTAGATTCCTACACATTAATGGTATCATTTTATATCTAAGGATATATTATATATAACACATGGTCAGCTCTTATGTCCTGATCAATTTCATGCTGCTCAGTTGGAGGCTCCGCCATGAAGGTTTTGAGGGGACAGCCTGGAAGAGGTTTTCTGCAGAAACTGAAATGAAGAGCTCTCCTGAAACAACACATTATGTAACTACTTTGTTCTTAGACATCTTCACTATCTCATATTTTCCCTCAACTGTTTTGGAAATGAACAAAAATGGAGAAAGAAAACACAGACACTATCAATGGGTGCTTAGTAGATAGCATGGGGCAGCTAAGTGGCACAGTGGATAAAGCACCAGCCCTGAAGTCAAGAAGACCTGAATTTAAATCTGGACTTAGATATAAGCTGTGTAACTCTGTCACTTAACCCTTTTTGCCTCAGTTTCCTTATATGTAAAATGGGCTGGAGAAGGAAATGGCAAATCACTCCAGTACCTTTGCCAAGAAAGCCCCAAAACTGTCACGAGGAGTCAGACAGAACTGCAATGATTGAACAACAATAATAATAACAGATGGCTTACGGTTGATAATCCACTTGCTAAACTGTTGACATTTGGAGATAATCGGGAAGACAGTAAATCATCAGTATCTTCCTCGGTTTCATCTAAGAAGTCCTAGTAAGAAGAGAAAAGAGTCAGTACCTAGAAATTTTGTCTATTTTTCTTCATATTTTATCTATCCAGTGACCCATCCACCACATATCCATCTACTTCAAAAATGCCCCTTTCTCTAAGAGAGAAAAATATCCAAAGTTACCCTATTCCTAACAATTCCTCCAATTCTCTATTTCACTTAGAATATTCTCAACAATGAAATAGTAAAAGTCAAGGGGAGAAGATTTGGGTTAATCCCTAATTTCTAGGCAGAGAACTAATCTTACTTTTTTCATTCATCCTCACGATTTATAAATATTTGATGAACTGATATATGGAATAATTTATTCAGAATACCCTGAATTCCAAAAGTACGCCCACTAATTCTAGGTACCAAACAGTTTAAAACTCTCAAAGCACCACGAAGCACAAATTATACAGGAAAATAACTTGAGTTGTCCTCCACTCCAAATAACTATCCTATGATCACATTTGGGAAGAGGTAGCTCCCAGGCAAGGGAAGAAGAGTGAGAATCTCACATAGGAGCAATTATTTAACTGTGGGTACTATTATTATTACTAAAGATGACCATTGAGTCCAGAGATTCTTAAACTTTTCCCACTAATGATCCCTTTTCAAGGTTCAGCTGCATTCTTTGGCCTTGGGTGGCCTAGGGGCATGCACAATGCAACAGTTCAGAACCAAGGCTGCAGTGAAGTTGCCTGATGCAACACGGGCAAGCGCTGCCAGAAACACCTCGGATTCATTACGTGTTTAATTTTTAATTTGGTTGTTGCACATTCAGAAACCTTTTATTATTGGCAAAGTTTTCATGACCCCATAGGGGGTAGCGACCCACAGTTTAAGAAGGGCTGAGTCCAACCCCATTGTTATATAGATGAGGAAATGGAAAGTGAGGCCCTAAGGGGGATAAACTAACCTGAGCTAATCAACCTAATTTCTTCCTGTCCTCCAACTCCTTTATCTTCACTTGATGCTCTCTCAGATACTGACTCTATAATCCCACAAAGTGCAGTTAGTATAAACAAAGATGTTGCTACACTTTAAAAAAATATATATATATAATATTTTATTTCCCCAAATTACATGTTAAAACAATTTTTAACATTTTTTTAAAGTTTTGAGTTCCAAATTCTATCCCTCCCTCCTCTTTATTCTCAACAATATACAATAATATTAAAAATATAATAATAATATTAAAAATATTAGACTTTTTTTGAAAGTAGCATAAACACATCTTTTTTTCCTGATGTGATTTACTCCACTTCTAACTTACCAAGTCCTTGTCTAAAGCTCCTGGCACAGATTTGCTTCTTATGCTGATGGTATCCTCTATTTCTTCTGAAAATGACGCACTCAAGTCTAACTCAGACCGACTCCTGTCTGTAGAAAAGAGCAGAAGGGAAAGTGAATCTTTTGAAAGTGAGACACATTGTCTCAAAAGATTTGAAGAGGAGTCTATTCTCCTTCAGTATCACGAAAACAAAAGTCAAGATAAATCATTTATTGCTATTTGTGTTTCAGTAGTTCTGCTGCCTGATTCCTGGAAATCACCTTGGGCTGGCTCTATTAGAAATACCCTGAAGAGTTTGACCCTCTTCAGGTCTCATTGATTTAAAATAACCATGAAGACACAAATATCAGTTTTGTATCAGTTCAGTAGGGATAGCTATCACTCTACAGCCTCTTTCTTTAAAACTTCTCATGGGTCCCCAAATTTGGGAAAAGAATGACTATATTCAACAAGTATTTATTAAATGCCTCATTAGGTACAAAGCACGGTACTAGCCATGGGTGCAGAGACAAAGATAATTTAGATGCTGTCCCTGCTCAATGTTTCTGTATTTTGAAGGAAAAGACAAAGGATAAATTTCTACATTGATACATCACCCAAAAGGCAACCTTGCAGGTAAACAGAGAGTTTCTCCTTCTCTCCCTCCAGGTTCAATTTCCTTTCAGTACAAAAATCTAAGATAAAGAATGAAATTTGTCTAATTATCTTTATTAATTCCCTAAAAGAATTCTGGCATATTCAATTGAAGGAGTTCACAAATGTGAAGGGCTGAAAAGAGCTTACCTTTATAAAGCTAATTGGCCAAGTCTACTTGCCCGAACGCAAGTGTTTTGTTTGGAAATGGTATAACCACTCTGATGGCCTCTGTACTATTGTTTTCCATTTCCTGTTTTGTTTATTGCTATTCCCAGGCTTCAGCATGTGGCTACATGGAATAGGAATTATATTGTGATGGAAATCATAATCCAGAGAGACCATGCTAAGTTCCTCTGACCTGTAGGGAAAGGTTTAGGATACGAGGATAAAAGGGCTAAATTCAGAGGAGGTTTGGGTTTGGAAGGCAGCCATGATGCAATGGTATTTGGGGAAAGTGAGAAGTTCATACAGGCATCTTGTAATGCCAGTTTAGAAACTAGAGTCTGGGTGTTGTAGGCTTGGATCCAGCAAACTATGATGAGTGTGGATGGAACAAACTGAAGCTACTGGCTGTCACCCCTGGATATTAGCAAAAGGATAGTAAAGGTTTAACTCCCCTCCCACTTTCCCCAAGAGCCTGAGGCTAGAAAGTATTTTCTACATGATTTCTTTTTCATTCAACTGTTTCTAATTCCTGATTGTCTCATATAAACTACAACTGGCCACATGTAATATGTGACTCATGCCAATTAATTATGTATAGGGAGATTAAAATGGAGGAAGATAATGAGTGACTGGAAACACACAGAACTAAATAGTACATAAAGGTTTGAATTTTAATAAAAAATAGCTAGGTTTTCTTCCTGACTGTGGGGGGCTCGGTGCTATAATTGTGAAAGACCCTTATGTCTTTAATCTCTTTTATTAATAAATCTTATAAGCTCTTAAATGGCAGAGACAACTGGAATATGTGACTTGAGACCATTTATTCCAAGATTATGGAGTCCTGAGTAAGCAAAAAACAGGTGGCAGAAATTTTGAAAGGTGTAGTCCAGAGGAAAGAGCAAGTATTTCTGCCTTTCAGTTAGCAATGCTACCACTACTGAACATAATGTAGCTGAAGAATCCCTAAAAGATGTAGTAGGTAGCTCGTGGCTCAGTGGATAGAACAATGGGTCTGGAGTCAGGAAGACTTGTTCAAATTCAGTCATAGACACTTTCTAACTGTGTGACTTATTAGTTGTGTGGGCAAGTCATTTAACTTCTGATTGCCTATCAAAATGGATCCACTGGGGAAGAAAATGGCAAACCATTCCAGTATCTTTGCCAAGCAAACCTCCAAATGGGGTCACGAAGAGTCAGATATGACTAAACTGAACAACAAAAAACTAGTGTCCACCTTAGTTTAGGGCAAACAATTTGAAGTTGATTAATTAAAGTGGTAAAGAACTTGGGGTTAATGAAATGGAAATTGTAGGTTTGATTCCTTTATGGATGAATCATCTTCAGGATGCCCCCTGTCCATAGATGGCAATGACAACCATAGCCCTCCATGTGGATAATGAAAATTGGTCATGAGAGAGGTAAACTTAAAAAGTGCTTTGCGTCACTGTTTGTGACAGAGCAGAACTACATTAGTGTAAAATTTACCACTAGATTCAGGGAAATAACTCAATCTATATGTGATCTCTGCCTCCTCTGATCTCCACCACAGTACTTTGTGCTTCTTTCATTATACTTTTATTTTATGCCTGCTACTATAATTATGTGTCCATCTCTTATATCCCCTACTAGATTGTTCGAGGGAGGACCTGAACCCAGAACTTCCTTAGTTCCAGACTAGTTCTAATTATTATGTCACAATGCCTCTTTTTTAAATTATAGCCACTAATATTTATCTAGAGATTTACAGTTTATAAAGCTTACAAGTATTATTATATTCATTTTATAGACAAAGAAACTTATTTGCCCAACGTCACACAACTAGTCAGAAAATGAACTGGGACTCATATCCAGGTTTTTCTGATTTTAAGTCTGCTAACCAATCCTGTCTTGCTGAGGGCCTTATTTTTAATCATATTCCCCATAGGGTCTTGAACATAGTAGACATCTGATAAACTGTTAATAAACCTTCCCTTTCCCCAGCCACTCCTGGGGACGAAGAAGAACAGGAGCAACAGCGGACTTCAAGTGAATTTTTAGAAGTAGGAGAGGAAATCACAGTCTCAGAAAAACAACTATAGATAATACAGCCTAAACAGTCCTTACAGGGAAGGAAAGAGTAGATTAATAAATTGGATGTGCACCTAAGATAACATAGAAAACCAACAAATAAAAAACCTTAGCAAAGCACAGAAATAGACGTACTGAAAATCAAAGAAGAGATAAATAAAATAGAAAACAAAAAATATTAAACCGACAAATAAAATGTGTAGATTTTTTGAAAAATATGAATAAAATAGGCAAGCTATTAGATATCAGATAAAAAAGAGCAACACCAAATTGTAAATCTAAAAATTGAAAAAAGAACTCACAATAAATTAAGAAGAAATAAAAATATTATTAGAAGCTATTTTGCCCAACCATATGCTAGCAAAAATCACTTAAATGAAATAGATGAATATTTATAAAAATATTAAATGCCTATATTACCAGAAGAAATAAATAATTTAATTAACCCAATCTGAGAAAATGAAAATATTGAGCCACAAATGAACACACAAAAGGGAAGAAAATCTTAAGGCTAAATAGATTTGCAAGTGAATTCAATCAAACATGCAAAGAATAATTAACTCCAATTCTATATAAACAGTTTGCAAAAACAGGGAAAGAAGCAATCTTATCAAATTCCCTTTATGAGACAAATATGGTCCTGTTGCTCCAAGCAGAGAGAGAAACAAAGTAAAGAAAAATATACTAATATCTTTTATGAATATTAATACAAGCATATTGAATAAAACATTAGGAGAAAGGCTATGACAACAAATAAAAAAGATTATACACTATGACTATCTTGGATTTATACCACAATTATAGGGTTGGTTTAATATTAGAAAAATACAAATATAACAGACTATATTAGTAACAAAACAATTAAATCATATATAGCAACAGACACAGAAAAAAGCTTTTTATAAAATATAATATCTTTTTATGTTAAAAATGCTAGAAAGAATAGGAATAAATGAACCTTTGCTTAATATTGTAAATAGTATTTATCTAAAACCTAGAGTTGGATTATTTGTAACGAAGAAACACTGGTGGCCCCTCCAAGATCAGGGTAAAGTAAGGATGTCCACTGTCAATACTACTATTTGATACCATTCAAGAAATAGTAGTTATGGCAATAAGACAAGAAAAATAAATTGAGGGCATAAAGATTAGGCAAAGAAAATAATTTTTTTCTTTTGTGGATGATATGACTGTTTACTTAGAGAACCCTAGAGATTCAATTAAAATTAATAGAAACAATTAACTTTAGTAAAGTAGCAATATATAAACCCACAAAATGATTAGCCTTTCTGTATATTATCAATAAAACCCAATGAAAAAAATCACCCAAATGTACCACAGAATGTGTAATATATCTGGGAGTCCACTTAATCAAGAGACACACACACACACACACAGTAATTATATTAATATAACCACAAAACATTCATTAAAAATGAAGGAAGAAAAATAATTGGAGAGGAATTAATTTCTTGTGGTTCCAGTGCTAATATAGTAAAAATGACAATACCAGATGAACTAATGTACAGATTTGGTGCCACACCAATTAAACTACCCAAGAATGACTTTATAGGACAAGAGAAAATTATCACAAAATTTATCAAGAAGAACAAAATTTATATTCTTATATAAATGGAAATAATGAAAAAAAAGGTAAAAAAGCAGCTATACTGCTAATCCACAAGCCTCAGAAACTATTTGGCATTGATTAAATAGAAAAGTTGATCAATAGAATATTAGATACATAAGATCCAGAAGTATCTGAAGACAGTAGCATGTTGTTTCCTAAACCCATAGACACTTTCTACTGGGGTAAGGAATCATTCTCGAAAACATTGAAGACAATGATGAAAACAATGACAATGATGCCGAAGATGAAGATGAAGAAGACGAAGAAGAAGATGAAGAACAAGAAAAAGAAATTATTGTGCTTAGCTCAACAACTCACACAATATTCCATAATTACTTCTAAACAGAAACATGATCTAGATATAAAAGGTCGTTACATAACTAAATTTGAGGAGAATGGCAGGAGACACCTTTTACAACTATGGATAGTGGAAGAATTCTTGACCTAACAAGGGAGAGTGACACTCATAGGAGATAAAATAGACAACTTTGATTATATAAAATTGAAAAGGTCTTCAGCAGCAACAACATCAACAACAACAACAAATGCAGTTAGAATGAGAAGGGAAACAATTAAGTAAGAAAAAAATCTTTACAGGTTTCTTTGATTAAGTTCTCATATGCAAGATATAAAAGAATCTGTTTCAAATGTATAAAAATGAGACATGTTCTTTAATAAATAAATGGATAAAGGATATAAACACATAATTTTCAAGAGAAGAAACCTCAGCTATCCACAGCCATATGAAAAAAAAACACCCCTTCAAATCACCAGTAATGAATAAAATGCAAATTAAAACAATCCCGTGGTCCTACCTTATGCCCATCCAATTGGCAAAGATGATGAAAGAAGAAAATAGCTATTGCTGGAGAGGTTTTGGAAAGACGGGAACATTGATGCTCTCATAGAGGATCAATGAATTGGGGTAACATTTTGAAAATCAATTTGGAAGTATAACTACAAAGTCATTAACTAAGTAAATTTATGTGATGCCACTTCTAGGCATATAACTCAAAGAAATCAAAGAAAAACAGAAAGGACTCTGTCAAGTCAAGTGAAGAAGCACTTAATTATTAAGCATTTACTACGTGCCATGCACTGTGCTAAATGCTGGATAAAGAAATACAGAAAGAAAGACAGTCCCTGCCCTTAGGGAGTTTACATTCTAATAAGGGGAGACAACACATAAAAGGAAGCAGAAAAGTTAGGTGGGGTTGGGAGAGAGAGAAGTTCTTGACACTGACAAAGAGCAAATGGGGATTGAAGCCTGGAGAGGAATGGAGACAAGGCTTCTCTCGGTGCTGTAGTAAAGAATCAGAAATGAAGTAGATACTCATCAATTGGGGAATGGCTGAATGAATTATGGTATAGGAATTTATGGGGACATTGTTACAATATAAGAAATGATGAAAGGGACAGATTCAGAGAAACCTGGAAAGACCTTTATGAATTGCTTAAGAAAGAACTCAGTGAAATGAGTCAAGCCGAGAGTTTTGCACAATGACCAAAACATTGTAAAAAGAAAAATTGAAAGACTTAAGAACTGAAATCAATGCAAAGATCAATTATGTCTCCAGCAGAATGATGACAGAGCATGCCTCCCACCTACTAGTAGAGAGGTAATGCACTGAGGCACACAATGAAATGTTTTCAGATATGTCCAATAAAACAAACATTTGTTTTGCTTGACTATAGTTATTGGTTATGAGGCAAAACTTTTATTTGCATGGAGAAGGGGAAGTTAGTGTTGCTTCTAGCCCCCCTCCCCAAAAAGAACATCAATGAAACACTTTAGAATACACGCTTAATAATTTAATATTTAATTTAATTCAATTTTTAATAATTAAAGTTCATATTCAAGAAGAATAAACATTTAAAAATACAAAAAAAGGACTAGAGTAGAAGGAAGTTCAGAAAGAGTCAGGCAAGTAGGGTAATATTGGTACTACCATGTTAAAACCAAGCTTCATTTAATGGATTCATGTTTTCACATACCAAAGTCTTTTTTTCTCCTCTCTGAATATGGTAATGTTTATGTTTATTGATGATTTATGAGTTCACAATAATTTCTAATAATCAATTGTACAGTCTTTATTACTATTGTTGCTATTTGGTCCTTTCAGTCTTCTCTGATTCTTTGTGACCCCATTTGGGGTTTTTTTTGACAAAGATACTGCAATAGTTGGCTGAACTTCTCCAGCTCATTTTACAGATGAGGAAACTGAAGCCAACAGGGTCACACATCTAGTAAGTGTCTGAGGCTGGATTTGACCTTGCGGCCTCCTGACTGCAGGACCGACACTCTATCCGCTGTGCCATCTAACTGCGCTAGAGTGTCAATTCCCCTTATCAAGTACATGATACATGGAGATATGAGCATTTGGCAAATACTCACCTGAAGACAGAGAGACCCCAGAGATAGCTATAGAAGGAGTTCCTGAAGCTCTCCTCTGATGCCTCTTTGTTAAACTTTCAGGGATGCTTTCACTGGCAGCCACAACCATGGCATTTTCTAAACCATGATCCTATCCAGAACATTTTAAAAAAGGGATTAAAAATAAGTTAGAAGTGACATTTTGCCTCAAGTCACAATGACATTCTTTAGAGACAATTAAGTTGACCAGGTAGGTACTTTGTGTAAGATTTAGCTCTCATACTTAAGCAATGTTAGATCTCTCCCCTACTCAGTAAACTCCAACATCTCTTTTCACCTCCAAGGTCAAATACAAAATCTTGTTTGGCATTCAAAGAAAGTCCTTTAAAACCCAGTCTTATCCTCTCAACTTTCTAGTTTTCTTATAACTTCCCTTCCTCCCCCTTCATGTATTTTTTGATCCAGTGACACTAGCCTCCTTGCTGTTCCTCAAACAAGACATTCCATCTCCAGACTGAGCATTTTCTCTGGCTGTACCTCATGTCTGCAATGCTCTCCCTCCTCATCTCTGCCTACTGGCTTCCCTGGCTACCTTTAAGTCCCACCTTCTACAAGAAGACTTTCCCCCATCCCTCAATGCTAGTGCCTTCCCCTCTGATGATTATCTTTGATTGATTCCTATATATAGCTTGTTAGTATTATGTACCAATCCCTTACCATGTAGTTTGCATGTTATCTCACTCCACCACTTCCCACTAATGACTGTGAAGTCTTTGAAGGCAGGGAGAAATCCTCTGTCTTTCTTTGTATTCCCAGCTCTTAGCACAGTGCCTCACACGTTACTACCGACATGGGAAAAAGTAAAACCTCTCCAAATTCCTCTTTCAAAAATAATCTAAACCAGGCTTTAGTTCCCAAGTATTTTCAACTCTAGATTATCTGCATTAACAGGAGTACAAGAGCAGCTGAAACATAATTTTGTTTGGTTTTGAAATGCAGAGAGATATCCTTCCCATCCCCAGCCTGATCCCAAAGCCTCTGCTGCCTTCAGCCTTTCCGTGAAACAGCAGAGGACCCAGGTGGAGGTGAAGAGGTAGTGCTGAGGAATAAGTCATTGGGAATACACAAAAAACAACCTCACCTTCATGGAGATTAAGCAAAAACAAAACAAAACAACAACAACAACAACAACAAACAAACAAACCCAAATCTGATTAGAGGAACAGTTATGCCCAGGATAGCCAGAGTGCAACAGCATAGCCTGCGATATGATTAGTCATGATGGCCTGCACTCACTCTGCTGCTAGCCGAACTCATGCTGCGGGTACTTGGGGCTGGTGACCTCTGTGTCCGAGGCAGGGTGCCATTGCCCTGGTTCCCTTTCAGGCTCACAGGATTAGCCTCCTGTTTGCTGATGTCTGGTGAGACATTTCCCCTGAATAAAATAAATAAATAAATAAATAAAAGTAGCAAAGTCCACCATTAATATGGAGGAGGAATAGAAATGGAAAACCTGGCAAGGAAGTGACTTAACAAAATGACGGTCACAGTAGCACACACCAACTACCGTGAAAGACAGTTGATCCCACACTAAGGACCCATCAACCACTATTGTGTCAACACAATCTCTGCTCAAAATTCTTCAATAGCTCTCTATTTCCTACTCCACTAAGTTTAAATTCTGTCTTAAATGGGCTCAAGCTCCTCCAGACCAATCTCCCATTATACGGAGGGGCAGCTGAAGGCACAGCGGATAGATAGCCCAAGTAAAGAAACAGAAGCCATAAAATAAGGAGGCATATTGAGAGGACCTCTAGTAAGATCCGCTTCAGTAAGATTTGTCCGGAGCCCAGCTTACATGACACTGAGTTCTATTTAAAAAAAAAAAAAAGTCTTGAGAAATGTGCTGGAATTTAATTGTTGGAGGGCCTTATATGGTAAGAAGTCCAGATTTTATTTAGTGAATGATTGATTTCTCTAGCAATATCTTATGGAGTTACAGGTTTACAAATATAGATCATTGGTGCCTTCTGTGCTATTTTGCATGGGATGCAATTTTAAAACACTGAGCAGCTGACAGAACCAACGAGGTTAGCTACCTGAAAATTCCAAATGAAACAGAAGTTGTTAGTGTTGTCCTCTATCTTACAAATTAATTTATCTTTACTGTATAAATTTGGACAAACTTGTCTGTGTACATGTTTTCCAACCAGTGAGAGTATAAGCAATTCAAGGGCAGGGACTATTCCTTTTTTCTCTTTGTATTCCAGGCACCTAGTGCGATGCCTCGCATAGACTAGATGCTTAATAAATGTTTGTTGAATTAAACCAAAGGTCATACAAGATTCCTTGAAAAGCATGATGACATAGGTAATTCTGTTCAATGATCCTCAAATTATTAATATCAAGAGAATTACGTATTTGAAATGAACTAGTGTTTCCCTATAGACAACAAGATTATCTCAATGCCCTTATTTACCCACAATGCTACAGGAATCAATATGATCTGTGATCCCTCCAAAGAGATCAACTTAATAATTTCTCAGGGAGAAACACATACACACGTACACACAGAGGATGAATCCTTACTGTCTAGCCTATGACACATAACTGGATGAATTGTCTATTGAATCAGCCCATGAATTCATATTTTAGACCTGCGATCCATGGATCCCTAAGAGGTCCATGGATAGATTTCAGGGGATCCATGAACTTGAGTGGGAAAAAATTTACAACTTTATTCCAACATAATTGGATTCCTTTTTAATAATACATTTGATTTTAAACATGTAAGAACATAATTCTAAAAAAAGCATCCATGGTCCTTACCAGACACAGAAGGGGTCCATGACACACAAAGAAGGGTAAGAACCTTTGTCTCAGATAGGTACTCCAAACAGACAGTGAGTTGGGCCCATAATTGAGTACAAGGAAGAGATAGGGTAAAACATCCTCAATGCCTCCAAGCTTTTCTCTAACACAGAAACTCAACATCTTAGCTCTAGAATCACAGAATTTGAGAACTGGAAGGTACCTCAGTGATGATTTAAGATTATTATTATTAATATTAACAACAATAATAAAACATATAAATAAATTATATCAAAGTATTTTTGTTGTCATTTGACTTTCACTTTCATTTAAACTGGTCAAAAGAGGGCAGAACACACAAAGTGAAGAGTTTACTGTAGGGTTACATTCAACTCAACAGGGATATAGGACTAGTAGAGGGAAAAATCAATTCAGGAAAAGATTAGTCATAAACAAAGCAAACCATAAACTTGAAGAAGTGATAGTGAAGATTAAAAGGAAAAGAAAATGCAACAACTTGAAATAAACAGAAAACAAGGAGTATAGAAAAGAAAATATATAAGAGAACAGGATGGGGGAAAATAATGATCTATGACAACTATTATTAACTATTATGACAACTATTACATATATATTTCACCATCAGTTCTCTGCAACCATAGATAGTCGTACATACATAATAATTTTAATTTTAAATCTATATTCATATTATTTGTAATACTTAAGATTAGTTAATTAAAATGGGTTTTATATCTTTATCATCATCATAATAATTTTAATTTTAAATAACCACTGAGGATACATACATATAAAAATTTAAAATTTTAAAATTATGATTATTACTAACAATAATGAAAACATAACTAAATTATGTCACAGTGTTATGTATATATATATATATGGGTATATGTACATATATATATATATGTATATATATATATATATACACACATACACACACACATATAAAACTATTCATGGATCCAGAGAACCATTATTAGCTTCGCACGACCTGTGTTTGAGGAAGCCACTGTAGTGATTCTATATGGATGCAAATCGTGGAACACAAGAATCCAAAAAGAAGGTGGGACTATCTATCCTAAACAAGTACCTAAGGACTATAGTTTTTAAGGGGCCAGGTACCTGAAGCACAGGGGAAGGGCCTACAATATGATACAGCATGAACGCATGGATGAGTTGTGATCTGTACCACTGGACTGAGATTCACATCAATTGTCAACAAGATGGCAGTCACATTGAAATATTATGTATGTCTCCTCTCCTTTTTCAAAAGAGAGTCAGTGTGTTGCTACTGGCAGTAGTAGTCGTGTAAAAATATTCATACACTCTTTTTAAAAATGTTATGTTTAAATTTGGTGATTTTAAGATGTCCAAAATTAGGGGTCAGGCCCCTTTAAGAAAACACATCAGGAGGATCCATTGACCAAGGAGGAAAGGTTTTAGTTTAGGGGCAAGCAATGAGGTCAGTTTAGAACCATGGAGGAGACTATTATTACATTTAGAGGCTCAGGAGCCCAGAGGTGGGAGGATTTAAGTAGAAGATAAGAGTAGTTAGTGCCCTCAAAGTAAAAGAGGGTAGCTAAGAATGTAATTAATACCCCTTGGCTCTTGGCCAAAAACAGTAATATCCAGACCTAAGGCCTTTCTTTGGAGAGAGTTGGCACAATAACGAGGATCTGAAAGACAAGAATTTCCAAGAGTAACCAGGGAGACAGAGAGAGAGAGAGAAAGATACAAAGAGAGAGAGACAGATACAGAGAGAGAGAGAGAGAGAGAGAAAGAGACAGAGAGAGAGAGAGAGAGAGAGAGAGAGAAAGAAGACTTAGTGTAGGCCCCAGGAGTTCTTAACTCAGGGTCAGTGAAATTGTTTATATATATATATATATATAAACATACATATACAGACACATATAATGTATATATAATGTATATACATACACATATACATACACAGATATACCATAAGTCAGTATAATTGGTGTATTTTTTAATCTTAAGTTCTAAGAGTCCATAGATTTCAGCACTAGACTCTCAGAAGGATAGATTTCCCTGTGTTCCTTTAAATCTCACCTAAAACCTCATCTTTTACAGGAAACCTGTCCCAACCGCTCTTAATTCTAGCCCCTACCTTGTATTAATTATTTCCCACTTATCCTGTATATGGTTCACTTTGTATATATTTGTTTGCATGTCAAACCCTTCCCCATTAGATTGTAAACTCCTTGAGGCATGAGACTGTCTTTTGCCTTTTTAGTTTTTTATAGTTAGCATGGTGCCTAACACATAGTAGGATGTGTTTAATAAATGTTTATTGATTTTATTGATTGGTTGCAGGGATTCATGACACCAAAAAAGGTTAAGAACCTGTGTTTCAGACATGAAGGAAAATAAATGTTTATATAACTAAATTTATGGATTGTAAATTAAGTAGTGATCAGGATAGTTAATTTGTACTTGGGAGTTAGTATTCCTTTTTAACCTTGACTCTACTATGGAATTGTACATTATTGGTAAAAAAAAAAAAGTTACTTAGCATGTGTGCTGTTTTCCTTTCTCTTTCTTTTCCCTTTCTCTTGTCTTCTGTTCCTTTGTTTCCCTTCCCTTCCCCTTTCTCTTTCCTTCCTTTCCCTTCTACTTTCCCTTCTCCTTCTTTCCCTTCTCCCTTCCTTCCTTATCTCTTCCTTTCTCCTTTCCTTTCTTTCTCCTTTTCCTTTTCTTCCTTTTCCTTCCTTTCCCTTCCTTTCCCTTCCCTTCTTTCTCTTCTCTCCTTTCCTTTCCTGGTTTTCCCACCTCACCCATGCTGAAAGAGCAGAGACTATAGATGCCAATTCCTGTTCTGATCTTCATAGGAGCTTTGACCAATTTTATTTTCAACCTGGGCCAGGTTCTCCCCAATTAGGCTAATCAATGCTCCCATCCCCTCTGGGAGGCTCACCATGTTGGTGTTGGTCAGTGGGGAGGATGGGGACACCAGACTGGGTTAGCCCAATGCAGTTCAGGACTCCCAAATTATAGAGATCCATCAGCCTCAGCCTCCCCAGGAGTAGGGATGTGTGGCCAGTGTGCCCTGCTGTTTTCTTTTATTTTCTTTCTTTCTTTTTTTTTTGTTTTTGCTTTTTGGCGAGACAGTCGGGGTTAAGTGACTTGCCCATGGTCACACAGCTAGTAAGTGTCAAGTGTTTGAGGCTGAATTTGAACTCAGGTTCTCCTGATTCCAAGGCCAGAGCTCTATCCATTGTGCCACCTAGCTGCCCCTCCAGCTGTTTTCTTTATTAAGAATTTATTTATTTTTGTAAAATATAAAGAAGTATAGGTGAGCAGATCATATGTTATGTCCTCAACTATCTCAGTTATCCCTGTCTATCCTAAACAAGTACCTAAGGACTATAGTTTTTAAGGGGCCAGGTACCTGAAGTACAGGGGAAGGGCCTACAAGGAATTAATTGATTCATTACTCACCCTTTTAAATGACAAATAATGTCATAAACTACATTAGGGAATAAGATTGATAGAATAATGTGCTAGCCTTAGAATTAGACATTTCAGTTTGATGAGGAAAATAAATTTGTTGTACAAACTAGCCAATAGTTACAGCCTTTACCC